TCCTGAAGTTGTCCCAGAGGCTGCTTACACTACCCTTATTTTTTTTATTCTTTTTTCTTCTTATTGTTCTGATTGATTGTTCTTTGTTTCCTGATGTTCCATATAATTGATTTGATTCTCAGCTTCATCCACTGTACTGTTGTTTCCCTGTAAATTGTTCTTTATTTCAGTTAGTGAATGCTTCATTTATGACTGGATCTGTTTTATGCTGTCGAGGTCCTCACTAAGTTCCTTGAGTATTCCTATAGCCAGTGTTTTGAACTCTGCATCGGATAGGTTGCTTATCTCCTTTTTGTTTAGTTTCTTTTCTGGAGTTTTCAGCTGTTCTCTCATTTGGGCCATGTTTCTTTGTCTCCTCATTTTGGCAGCCTCCCTGTGTTTGCTTCTATGTATTAGGTAGAAGTGTTTTGACTCCCTGTCTTGGTAGTGTGGTCTCATGTAGTGGGTGTCCTATAGAGTCCAATGACACAGCTTCCCCTATTACCCAAGCTGGGTATTCAAGGTGCACCCTTCATGTGGACTGAGTACACCCTCCTATTGTAGTTGAGCCTTGGTTACTGTTGGCAATTCAATGGGAGTGATTTACCCAGGCCACTCAGCTGCAAGGATCGACTGTGACCACTGACCACCAACTTCTGCCCTCTATGGAGGATCAGGGTGGTAGTGCTCTGAAGTAGTCTATAGCTGTGCTGTAGACCAGTGGTCTATAGTGGCCACTGGCTGTGCTGGCCCTGGGGTTTCCTGGTTGGTGCTGGCCAAGGTCAACCCACACCTGCATTTTGCCTGGGGCTATCCTTCCTGAGTTATAAAGCAATCTGACATGGCTGCTACTAGTGCTGGGTTTGGAGATTCCCAGGTGAAGCCAAGGTGTGAAACTAATCTGGCTGCTGCTAGTGCCTGGTCTGGAGCTCAGTGAGACCAGCTGTTGTTTGTTTGGTAGGATTTAGGGAGTTGTAATACATGAGCCAAGATCAGCCAATCATATAGAAAAGCAGCTTGGGTGGACCTGTAAGTTGGATGGGGCAGAGTCTCTGGAGATCTCCAAGGTGGGTCAAACAGTGTTAGCCAGGTTGATGGAGTCTCAAATATGGCACCAGCCTGCCAGCTCCATGGCTCTGTGGGAGGGGGACTCAGAAAAGGGGCAATGGCCTCTGCTTGTCCTGGTCCAGACACTTCAGCCCCTCCCAGTATACCACTGGTGACCTTCAAGCTACCACCCCCGTGCTGGAGCTCAGAGGGAGTGAGTCTGACTAGGTGAGTCTGTGTGTGGGTTCTTTAAGAGGAATTGTTTGGGGCTCTAGCAGCCTCTTCTACCACCTCAATCCTTGCTGGTTTTTGCAGCCAGAATTTGTGGAGACTTGTCTTCCTAGCACTTGAACCCTGGGCTGGGGGACCTGGTATGAGGCTGGGACTCCTTGCTCCCAAGATATTCCTTCCAAATTTTTATCTACCATGTATGGGTGAGAGACCAGCCTGTTCTATGTGTACCCCTCCTACCAGTCTGAATGGATGTGGTTTCTTTAAATCCATAGTTGTCAGACTTCCATTCAACTTGATTTCTGATGGTTGTTAGTAATGGTTGTTCTATATTTTAGTTGTAATTTTGATATTGTTGGGCAAAGAAGTGAGCCATGTCTGCCTATGCCACCATCTTGACCAGAACCAAAAATATTTTTTAGTCCTCACCCGAGGATATGTTTATTGATTTTAGATAGAGAGAAAGGAAGAGAGAGATAAAGAGAAACATCGATGTGGGAGAAACATTGATCAGTTGCCCCCTGTATGCTCCTTGACTGGGGATTGAACCCACAACCTAGGTATGCGTCCTGACTAGGAATTGAACCCACAGCCTTTTGGTGTATGGTACATCATTCCAACCAACTGAGCCACCCAGCCAATGCTCAATTATCTCTTTACACTGTGACATACTGGTCTTATCACCTGGCTCAGACACCTACCGTGCTTGTCAGCACTTAATGACTTGTGAATCAAACTGTTCCAGAAGGGAAACAAAGACAAAAGAAAGAAAGGGTATAAAGGCAAATAACAATCATTAAAAGGAGAGAAACTAAAGACAGATCAATGAATAGGGAAGGGAAAAAGAGAAAAAAGAAAAGAGAAGGAAACAAAAACAAAAAAGAAAGGGAAGAGGGAGAAGAAAAGGATTAAGGAAGCAGAAGAAGAGGATGAGCTAAAATAACTCCTTGCCCATTTCTTTTCAGTGTTCCTCCCTCATCCAATATCCACTTAGCAGCTGAGTGGTAGCTGCATAATCTACATCAAATCACGCCAGTATTTTATTTATTTGAAGTCTGTAACATGATGTAAAAGGTTCTGAATTATTGTCTTCTATTGACTTCCCCATCTTCAGCTCTTCTCACTCCATAACTGATTGTGATAGTGCTACACTCAAGTCACTCTAATCTTTCAAGTTCTTACACTGTTAAGCTTTTTCCTTCTTCAAAGTTCTCAGCATGTGCCTCCCCATGTCTAGAATATCTCCTTCTCTTTCTCTTGCCTGGCTAACTCCCATCTTGTCCTCTGATCTTCATTCTCTGGTCTTCACTTTAATGGAACTTGCCCAGAGATGCCAGTTCCACCTGCTGACCTATAAAACATCTTCCTGTTGTTTTATCTCACAGCACTCTGTACCCTCCTCATTGCACTTAACACAATGGATAATTATGGGTATGTTTTATTTTTACAATATTGGCCTCCTCCATTAGGGATAAGTTGTTCATCCCGATACATGTAGTGTCTAACATATATTAGGTATGTAAATACTTGTGGGCAGAAGAAATGTCAAAATAAATTAATAATAAAGTTAGCTGACCTCAAAGCCAGGTTGAGCCATTACACTACTGATCCTCTACTACTTATTTCTAGGGAATTGTGCTTTCTCTTACCATGGTACTTTTGAGTCGACCACCTTGACCTTTAATGATGGTTTTGGATGTGTATGCCAGAAATAATTCTTAATCTTATGTTACCCTGACATAGTTTATCCTAGAGAAAGCCCCCAGAGGAGTCTGTTCGATGATTTTCTGATTCTAAGACTCTACCGCTGACAAAGTGTGAACCACATGACAAAACTGAAAAGATCTCTTCCCTGGCCAATGTAGCTCGGTGGTTTGGGAGTCATCCTGCAAAGGGGAAGGTCACTGGTTTGATTTCTGTTCAGGGCACATGCCTGGGTTGCAGGTCCACTGATTGATGCTTTTCTCTTCAAATAAGTAGCTGGGCTGCTACTGCTACTATGATTAATAATGTTGTTATGTATTGAACATTTCCTACATATCAGTCATTTCACACATAATATTATTCATTCATTTTACCTTCTTCACTTTCTTTTCAGCTAATTATAAAGTAAATACTGGGGTGGATGTTATTGTTTTCAATGTCAGTGTCTCAAAAAAGAATAAAATAATTCCATAGTATTTAGCTCCAGATGAGAAAACTGAGCCTGACAGCAGTAGATTCCATGGTGGGATTTGAATCCAGAGTGATCTGACTCAAAAAATCGTTTAGGGCACTCTCCAGCACTCTGTTTTCAGGTCCTACCCCAGCTGCCCACACAGTCACACAAAGTATAGACAAAATAAACATCTTAAAAAAACCAAAAACATAAGGAGAAATAATAACCCCTCTATCATATGGTTTGCCACATCTTTTACTAAATGAAACCCCATCCACAATTATGGGGAGAAGAAGGATAATTTCCAAATTTTAACACCATTATTCTTCCCCACATTTCCCTTTCTTGGGGTCTGAAACTATACTGGGGTAAGCAAGAGTAGATTTATGGTTGTGAGTACACGAAACGGAGTTTATTCTTGTATTATTATTTATTAATTATTACATTATTTATTTGTATTATGACTGTAAACCTACTTTCGCCCACCCCTGTATTACCGTACCACAGCTACGCCACTGGAAGCAACACATTCCCCATCTGTGCCCACAAAAGGGAACCTTGATGGAATGGGCACTTGCCTATTCCAGTCTCTTGAGGAAGATGTCTGATGTCCTGGTCCCCCTTTCTAAGTGTCTACCCTCAAGTCTGGGAACTGGTGTCACCAAGTCAGTTGGCCCTGGCCCTCCCTGCAGCCAAAGGTGCTCCTTTAGGAGGAGTCAGCAGGTTGAGTGGCCTGCTGATTAGCACCTTCTAAAAGGAAGTGTTTGTAGATAAGTACTTTTCTAGGCTCAATCCCTTGATGTTTGTTTTGGAGACTGTTAGCTCCAGAAACTTTGAAGAAAACATGCAATGGACTAAATGCTCTATAATGACCTGTTACAGCGGCTGGTAGACCGACTTTTGATTTGGGGGCTGTGGTTTTGCTTTCTTTTTTAGTTAAAACCTGAGTGACGCAGTGCCACGTGTTTCTGCCTTGGGAGGTTATTTCTCAGGGGTGGCACCTGCTACTTACCTGAGAGACTGAGATTTGGTAACTTTACAAGAAATTTTATCATCCACAAATTGTAGTTGTATTATGAGGATTTCTAGTTTAATCAAACATTGACAGAAATAGAGTAATAATTTTTAGAGCCAAGAAGTATTTTTTAAACTATAATAGCATTTGCAGCATGTCAATCTCCAATTAAAATATTTATATTCTGACATCCTAATACCATGGTAAGTACTAGTGTTTGTATTATGCCTCATTCCACAAAAGACTTAAGTCAGCTTGCAAAATTGCCAGAAAAAAATTTGATGGAAATAGAGATTGAGACTATGGGGAGAGGTAGAAAATAATCTCATGGATTATGATGGGGGGAATGTGTTTTAGTTGAAAAAAAGCTGAACAGAAACAAGGCGACTTACCTGAGGAAAACTCATACCCAGGGTCTGCTGGATTGTGGCAAGACACTGAGTAGTTTCACCATTCTTATCTCTCCCACTCTAGCCCAGTTCCGTGTCCAGGGCAAATGAGCTGACTTTGGTAGCCTGTGTGGAGAGGCACCATCTGGGTCCTGCGCCACACAAACCTGGGGTGAGGCTACAGTATGATGCCGTAGCAGGTCCCATCTCAACAGCATTTCCTCTGCCTCAGTTCAGGGGGTCACAGGAGACAAGATACCCTCAATTAGTTCAGACCTGACATTTAGACAACTCCATTTATACACTTGCTGATTCATACAAATTCAAAATAGCTTAGTAAGTGCGTACCGGATTAATAATCAGTATTTTTTAAAGATCACTTTTTATGTGCTGAGTTCCTGAACTACTTTGGTTATATAACACATTATATAATTACTGTGTGTATAATCACCTGTTCAATTGGACATATTCTTCTGATCTTAGAGAAGAGTGAACTGAACCTTAAAGTAAAGGGATATGCTTAACTTTCTAGAGCTGGTACATTGAAAGTTTTAGAATTGGATCCCGGGTTTAGTTTTTGGAGTCTATACTCTCCATTATTCTGCATTGCCTGCTAGAAACACAGCACTGACACGGGCTTTGATAAATGACGCCGAAAGGGAGAGAACTGTATCTACTGCAACGTTCCATGTATTTTCTAATAAAGAAGAAAAGATGTGCATATGTGGAACTGGTCAAAAATGACATATGGCAACAGATAAAAAAGTTCCAGAATTGCAAACAGGAACTTGAAGAGAATTGTATACCCATGTCCATTATGGCATTATTCTCAATAGTCAAAAGGCAAAGGCAACTCAAAGTGCCATGAAAGGTCAAACAAGATGTGGCACACTCATACAATGGAATATTATTCAGCCTTCAAAACAAAGGGAATTTTGAAACATGCTGTCTGTAATGAGAATGGACCTTGGCATTACACTAAATTAAATGTGTCAGTCACAAAAGAACAAATAGTACATGATTCCACTTACCTGAGATACTTGGAGCCATTAAACTCATAGACAGGATGTAGAAGTGTGGTTGCCTGGGGCCAAGAGGGAGGAGAAATGGGGTTATCGTTGAATGGATACAGAGTTTCAGTTTTGCAAGATAAAAAGGGTTCTGTGAATGGGTGGTGGTGATAGTAGCACAACAATGTGACTGTCCTTAATGTCACTGAACTGTACACTTAAAAATGGTTAAGATGGTGAATTTGATGTGTCTATTTTACTGGAAGAAAAAAATGTATTTGCAATCATGAAGTGAAGGCAAAGACCTTGGTTGGTGGGAGGGCTGGGGGAGCTGTGGGCGAAGGAAGCTTGAAACAGGTGCTTTGGACAGGGGACGACTGTCTGTGCTTCTCCCCTTCCAGGGATGGCCTCAGCACAAAGCCATGGAAACAGCATGCTCAAGTACGTAGTCATCCATCCGGTCCTTTTGTAGGAGCCAGGGTGATTTTTCTGTATAATCGTATGCCTCCTTTTTAAAAATAATATCATTGACTCCATATCACTCTCCAGATAAAGCCAGACCCCCTTTTGTGATCTAACCCTGGGGACTCCAACTTTCCATCCATCCCCTGTCTTTTTCCACTCTTCATTTGCTAAGCTCCAGTCCTACTAAACTGTTCTTAGATACTTACACACACTGTATTCTTATATATGTCTGGGCCTTTACATAATTCAAGTCTCCTCTCTCCCCACTTCTTTCCACCAACCCTTACTGCAGTACTCTCTCCTCTTCCTGTTCTCCTGGCTAACCCTCATCCTTCATGACTCCACAAAGACATCACTCCCTCCGGGAAGCTTTCTGTAGCCCCCTTCCCACTCCAGCCTGAATAATGTGTTCCTATTTGCATTCCTATGGTATCTTGTACTTCCTCCTATCATAGTCCATACAACTTCATTAAACTTCCTTTTTTTTGGTCTACATTCTCCAAAAGACAATAAACTCAGTGAGAATAAGGACTTTATTGGTCTTTTTTACTATTTTATCTTTAATGTTTAGCAGTGTGCCTAACATAGAGTGAGAAGACATTCAATAATATTGGTTGAATAAATAAATTCAGTGCATAATAATGCTTAGTTTTATTCAAAAATCTACACAAGCACTTTCTCATTTGATCTTTTTAAAAATTCTGCCAGCAAGATTGGATAGATCTTATAGCTTTCATTTCACAGATGTAGAAACCAAGGTCTAAAAAGTTAAGGCAACCATGTAGGGCTGCGCAGACAGAAAGTGGTGGGGTGACTTGTGTTAGAGCCTTTATTTATTTCACCATACCTCATATCTTGGCTTCCTGTTTCATATAAAGAAGATTGCTCCTCTCTAGGTATCTTTTTATTTGTTTCTCACCAATTGCAAATTCTGTGCGTGTTTGCTGACTGTAGCAGACACTATCGATGCCCTACCCTGAGCCCCGCAGTCCACCTCTGAGTTCACCTATGGTTGAGGTAGATAGTTTCCAGAATGTTTCGACATTTTACCTCAAGTGCTTACATATCTCTTCCCCTCTACATAAGGGTTTTCTTCAGTACCACAGAGCTTGTGTTCGGCATACCAGTGTAGCCCAGAAGTATGTGTAGGAGGTTCATGCCCTTGGGAGCAAACCACAATTCATGGGGATGGGAGTTGCTGGGTAAACCGGAAAGACTCCACACTCTGTGCTGGGACAGTTCTGAGGTGTGCTCCCTTCCCATGGTGTCTTGCAGGGTCTCTGTCAGGACTGAGCCTCAGTTGCCTGCAGAGTTGAGCCCACGCAATAACATACACTGTAATGGATTTTCTCCCTCCCTGAATCACTGTCTTCACTCTCTCATTTATGTTTCTAGAGAATACTTCAAAAATAAATTACTGACATCCAAGTCTTTGTCTCAGGGGTTTCTTTTGGAGACAACGAATCCAAGATATTGATAAATCCCTAACAAATAAGAAAGATGGGGAAAATAACATAGCTTTGTCTCCATTTCTAAGTAAGTGTCTTTGGAAGACATTCTCTTGCCATTTTCCTCACCTGCCCCTTCACCAGATGATCTTTCAGGCCCCATTTAGCTCTGAGAGGTCACCCATCTACTCTAGGGTACATTTGTTCACCAAATGCCCAGCTCAGTGATCATTGTTCTTCCCCACGTTGCGTTCCCTCAGGACACTGACCTGTGGCAGGCTGGTAACTGGCACAGAACAGGCAATTTCCAACCACTGTGCCAGTTCTCTCTGTCCTTTGTTTATCAGAACTGGCTGGAATTACTGACTAGAGTCCCTAAGGGGAGGACAGAAGTTGCAAACAACCATGGCTCTCTACACTCCATTAGCTGAAGCAGACAGAGCCAGAAGCACAATAGAGCATTAACTTCCAGACATACACATTAAGTTTTAGACAGTCCGTGAAGAGGGGTGGGGAGTGTACAGACTAAAACATACCCATGCAGCAAAATGCAAACAAGAAACACACCAGATGCCCTTGGTCAACTATTACACAACAGGTTTCTGAAACCAGTTCCCCCAGAGTTGCTGAAATGATTGTTTGTTCAAGGAACATTTCTTTAAATTCTAAAGGTCAATGTAGTTGATTCGTGTCATGCCACCTCCATCACAAAACATGTGCTTCTGACTTGTGTCCTCCTTTCACCTCTCCCTGGGGATGGTGGTGGCTACCTGCTTAGCAGGATCTGGGCACCAGCTTGCTCTTTTCTTTACCCCCAACTGTTTAACCTGATGACTACTCCACACACTACCCTAGCAGAAAGAAATCACAGGTGCAAGAAGGCAAATGTGTTTCACTTAATCAAACTTTGAGCACTTCAGGATATTTTTCTTATTTATCTTCATGTCCCATTCCTAAGTCGAGTGTCTGGCACTTAGCACATCCTCATTAAATGTATGTTGAATCCTTGGGTACATGCATGAATGAATTAATGACTATCCACATAATTCTTCTAGCTAGAACGATGGAGGCTTATGCTATGAATATATTTCCTTAGTAATTAGCTCTGTGTATAGTGGGTGTTCAATAAACATGAATTAATGAATCAATAATGTGCCTAAAAGAGTTTTGCAGAGAATAAATCACTATGGAGGCTTGTGAATAAGCCCCCTCCTTGCTGTTGGTGGATTGCATGTTGTACCCACTGAATGATTATAGTCTTGTGTGATTCGTGTGAGAGTTTGCCTTGCTGATATTGGTAAGATGTCATTTTAGATATCATTTAGTTGGTCTTTCTCTTTCGGCTTGTGCCCTTTTCCATATCCTGTTTAGTATTAGTTTTTTTGAGGCATTTCAGCAGGGTCAGAGAATGGGGAAAGACCAGGGTTATAAGTAGGTTCCACATAAATTTCTTAATTGAATAAGAATTTGTCTGTGGTCTTGAGTGTGGGCAATTAGTCCCCAAGGGGAAGCGCTGGCTATGTTAGCTATAGCACACTATGGACATGCAGTACATTTTATGAAGCCATAATAAAGTAATAGTACAATCATTGATTGTTATCTTTGCCCATTTAAAGCTGTTTCAGAGAGCAATATTAAATACAGCCTCATTTTTTTGTTTTATAACAATATTGTAGAATTAAGAAAATGTATTTTTCTACTCTCATATAACATTGAATGTTTCCAGAAAATTGTATACATAGTACACCTTGAGTTGACATGTCTTATATTTAATAATCATGATAATAATTACATTCCCATGTTAGGGTATTTTCTATGTGTTAGACTCTGTACTAGATGCTTTATATCTACATACTTAGTTATTCCTTCAATTCCATTTTTGAAGCATTTGTTATTATTTTCAGTTTCCATATGAGGAAATAGAAATTTAGAAAGGTAAATAACTTGATAAGCATTGTATTGCTGGTTGAAGTCTGATTCAAAGTCCTTTGCTCTTAATTACTAGTATGTATATATGCAGGAATATTTTCACAGAAGGCCAAAATTAGGATCAACAGTGAATAAATATTTTATTTTATGGCTCTTAGATTTTGAATCAAGTAAAAAAAACTCCATTCTGAGATAATAAAAGGAAAAATGAGACTTGGAATAGTAACAGCTGTCATCAGTTGTTATGCTAAGTGTATTATGTAAGTTGTCTCATTTCATATTAGGCTATGTACCTAATAAATTCTGTACTAGAACCCTTTTATACAGAGGAGAAAATCTGAGCTCTGTATGTCATGCAATTTGCTATAGATGACCAACAACTAGGTAGAAGAGCTTTGACCTAAACTGGCTCTATCTTACATTAAAGCCTTATCAGCATCCCCATAACATTTCACTGTATCTAATAAGGTAGAAATTGCCAAAGTAACCATGATAGACATTTATGATGTTTGTCTGGATAACATTTATTCTCCCTTCTTATTGACACTTTGATTTTTTTCTTTTCTTTTTTTTTTTGTAGAGGAAAGAGGAGATTACCTCTCATCATGCATACAGAGTGGTTGGACAATGAGTCAATGTTTCTACCTTTTTCTAAAGAATCTGAAGGGACCAGATTTTACCTTCTATCAACTTATGTGGACAAGATGTGGACATATGATCTAAATTTAAATTAATTGAAATAATTTTTTTCAGGAATTTCAAATTTGGTGGTCTAATGCAGGTAGTGAACACATGTGGAATATATTCATCTCATTTCTTTTCCATCAAATTTCCCTGCTATGTTATTTTTGTGATTCCCAGATCACTACAGCCTCACTCAGGCATAACCCTGGAGCACAATGAAGAAAGAAAAGCACTCCATGAGCCAAATTCTATAAAGCACATTTCATCAACTGTGCTTAGGAAAGATGGTCTGTGGTAAGATTCTTACTTAACCATGGGTAGTGGCCAGTAGTCTAGTCAGATGATAAGAAATTTGGAACGTGCCTGATTAGGGAACTGGTGATGAGGAGTTTTGAGGACAATAGTATGTGGATGGTTTTTGAAGAATGAATCTTATATTATTTAGAATTTGTTTCAGCTTACACAACAGGAAACCCTACAGAACAGTAACCAGACCAGATGAAAGGTCATTTTTTAAAAATTTTGATTTCTGTTCTAACATAAAAGAAGTGGTAGGTGGGTATCCAGGACCTATATAATTGCTCTGTAGCCATTATGGTTACTTTATAGTCTAACAGGTTGGCTGGGACTCCAGCCAATCACATTCATGGCACTGGAAAAGAAGAAATGGAAAAAAGCAAAGAGAGGAGTGTGTCCATGCTGGGCCAGCTTCTTTTTAGGCCACTTTTGTGGATTTCCATACAATATTTCCATTTATAGCTCATCTGCCAGAACTTAGTTTCATGGCTACATTAAGGAACAATAGCAATAGGAAGTGTAATTTTATTAGCCAGATGACTTCATAATGGCTTTATACAGCTAGATGGCTGTAAATAAAAATCAACATTTTATGTCATATAAATTATTACTCATAGTTCAGAGCTACAAAAGGGAATCTTAATAATCAGGTTGACAGACTTGTTCTGCACTAGGTTCTTTGACTTGCCACCCAGAGTGTGCTCAGTACATTCACGAACAAAGTAGCCATGTCAGCAAACATGGAAACTGCACTGGCTCAGCCACAAGGACATCCCCCACAACAAGACTGATGTGCAGCCGACTATAGCTGAACATCCAATAGGCCCCCATTGCTTAGCACCCAATTTAGCACCCTTTGCCAACACGAGAATTCGGCATGACAACAGTAGATTGTTCACATTAGGCCCCTCCCATTATGAAGGGGGCAAAGAAGAGATTTTACTGGCACAAACAATTTTTCTAGATTTGGATGTGTTTTTCACGGCTATCATGCCTTTGTCAGTGCTATAATCCATGAGTTTGTAGAAGCCCTTATGCACCATCATGATATCTTTCACTTTTATAGTGTTAAGGCTATTGCCCCAATGTCAAAGTCATAAGGCAATGACTCCATACTAATGGTATTTGTTGGTCTTCTTCTGTATTTTATCATCCTGATGAAACAGTTTTACCATAGCTAAGAGACAAAACCTTGCCATGTTGTGCGGTTGTCCTAAAAAACATAATGAATGCTATGAGGTAGTGACCCAAAATATGCTGGTGTTTCATCTATAGCTAGAATATATGGTTCTTAGAACTAAAAGATGAAAAAACAGACTTGGTGCTTCACAAGGTTACATATCTACTTCCTGTCTCAACATCATTATTTCCTGTTCTCAGGACTTGGTGATCTGAGACTTTGAATACTAATTTACTTGAGAACTTTGGGTCCCCCATGTCACTAGGTGAATGGGCCAAAAAAGGATATTATGGCTTTAACTATATGAGGAAATTGAATTATTCATATACATTTGGGCAGGAAAGAACATGGATGAAACCTGCGTTATTTACCTTTGGAGCTTCCTGATACAACTAGGTCCAGTAGTAATGATTAATGGAAGTCCTTAAGAGAAAGACTGCCACGGTCTCAGTCCCTTCAGTTAGGTAAAGGTTTTGGTCACCATGTTAAGGAATCCTCTGATGAACTTGTTGTTACCGGATGGCAAGAGGAATATGTACATGTATGGGAGAAAAGGAGAGAGAAATATTATTTACGGTCTTGTGAGCAGCTATAGACATGAGATCTATAGTCCCTTTCCTGATACATTGATTGTGTTCTGTTTACATAATCCAGCTAATATTTTTATATTTGTGTTAAATTATCTTATTTCTTCTTCTGTTCTCTATCACCGAATAATTTTACTTGTTGGTTGTTGTGGAAAATAAAAATGAAATCACAGCAGAACTAGTGGTGGATGAATGGCCATCAAACAGAGTTCCTTGACTTGAATGTGGATATATAATTTGTAAGACTTAAGTTTACATAGTTTTTAGTGTATGTGAAAGAGTTGTATTATGTTAGTGGGATGGAGTACTTTAGAAAGTTTATCCAAAGGGAAAATGGTATGGATATTGGGCATTAACATGGATGATCTGCAGATCCCATTTGATGGATACTGTATGGGAGGGAGATCTTCCCATTACTCCTTCCCTGTCCTGCAGAAAAAAACTATTGTCCTTTGGAGAAAATTTGTGATTGGGATAGAACAGCAAATAAAGAAGCCTAATTCAACAATGCAAGTTGTAAGGGCCAAAATGCCTCAGCTTTGCTATTGTGGGGCGAGCACATGCCCTAAGCTTGGTTATATGATTTTTTTTTAACTTTAATAGTTGGAAATTATTTATCCTAATACTGGCAACACGACCAGCATGGCAGGGATCATTATTAGAGTTCTTGTTCCTTAATTCCCTGCTGAGATGTTATGGTTTTTGCCTGTTTTTTCAAAGTCTAGTTATAGGACTTTTAATTACAGAAAAATAGGAAAAACAACATAATCCCTACCTCCTTTCCCTGCAGCCTTTCAGTGTAACTAAAATCCCTTAACATCATGTGTAAGAGAATTTAAGAATACCCTGAAAAGTGGAGATTAAAAAACCGACAGATTAGGGACCTCAGGACCCAAGTAATGGCATGGTGGTGAGTTCACCGGGTTTTCTTGTTGCTTCATATATGCCTGACTAGACACTGGAGGAGCCTGTGGCCCAGAAATGCCAATGGGTACAGATTGTAAAAGCCCCAACAAAAGCCTGTTGTTTCTAGCCAAAGGGTGAGGAAAGGGGCAGCTGGCAAAATAGAAACTGTTTAGAAACTAGCCACTTTACTCCAGCCAAGTCACACAGGAAAAGTGCTGCCCCACCTCACACCTGCCAACAAAGGCCAAAGGAGAACAAGGTGCAGAACTGACTTGTTGTTGTCCTCAGTGAGGTCATGGTGAGGGGGAAAGTCCTCCTCCACAGGGTGGTGATTCTCCACTGGCCTCCTCTCATAGCACCACACAGACGGTGGTGGGAACCCAGGGTCCCACGTGGTCTCCACTCACACCATGTAAGGTGGGAAGTGTTCATTACTACCTGGTGGTGGTAGTGTCCTGGGTCTTCATTATGTCTTTTCTAACAATACTTTGGCTAAGACATGCAGAGACATTTCACCCAAGAGGATAAATGGCAGGTGAATAAGCACATGAAAAGCTGTCCAACGTCACTCGCCATTAGGGAAATGCAGATTAAGACCACAGTGAGATGTCGGTCTACACCTCTCAGAATGGCTAAAAATGAAAATAGTGACAATACTAAATTCAGGCAAGGATGCAGAAAAGCTGGATTTCTCATATGTTGATGGTGGAAATGTAAAATGATACCATCACTCTGGGAAATGGTTTGGTGGTTTCTTAAACCTTTTGACCTAGCAATTCCACTCCTGGGCAATTTATCCCAGAGAATTGAAAACTGAGGTCCACACAAAACCTGTGCAGTGATTGTTCCCAGCAGCTCTATTTGTCATGGCCATGAACGGGGCACAGTTAACAGGCCCACAGTGGGTGGGTGATTAAACAAACTCTGCTCCCTCAGTGTCATGGAATCAAAAGAAATGAACCATTGATACATCAACAACTCTGATGAATCACCAGGGCGTTATGCTGAATGAAAAAAAGCCAGTTTCAGAAGGTCACATACTACGTGATTTCATTTATATAACAATTTTGAAAAGACAAAATTATAGAGATGGAGGACAGAAAAGTAGTTGCTGGGGTTAGGAATGTTGGGGAGGCAGGGCTGAGTGTGACTGACTATAGGAAGGTTTAAAAGGGATCCGTTCGTGGTGACTTAATTGCAGTGGTGGATGCATGAATCTACACTATTGATAAAACCGCATCGAAATATCCACACCCACACCAATATGCCAGTGTCAATTTCTGTTTCAAGATATTATACTATAATTATATAAGATGTCACCATGGAGGGAAACAGGCTGAAGGTTATGTGGAACTTCTCATCACTATCATTGAAACATTTTATGAGTCTATAAGAATATAAAAACAGTTTTGAAATAACTGATAATGTACAGTAGCCTTCCTGCAGTTTCATAAATTGTTAATATCTTATCAATAAATCACTATTTTACTTAATATTACCATGTCTTGCTGTTATCCAAATTATCCTGATACGCAATATTTATGTAAATGATTCATCTCATCCTTAGAAGAGTAAGAAAAAAGCTTCTCAAAAATATGCATCAGAAAAAGGGATCAAAACTAGAATTATCTTCTCCTTCTTTGCTTATGTCTAAGTCAAGTTATGTTAAATCTACTTGGGTTCTCCTTTTTGTTGAACACAATTACATATTTCACACACACCCTCATCCCCACCTCCACCCCTGCCTTAATCTGTTGGGACAACCACAGCCATCCTTATATTTGGTGAAGAAAGCGCGACATTTTTACATCATTTATTAGACTTTTACAGTTGGTTGCAGGGGGCAGAGAGTCACCTAGCTAGGTAAGCGCCAGGAGCACAGTTGAGGAATATTAATTTCTTTCATGTACAGTGGTTTGGGAAATGAGTTTTATGTGGATATTCTAAATCACAATCTGCAGGCTGTATTTTTTGAGTCAAGGTGTTGATTCATGGACTTTCTTTGAAGTCTTAGAGTGTTCCTCCTTCAGTGTGAGTCAACTATTCAATAGGTGTTTCTCTCTGCCTTTCCCACTTTCATCTGCTTGACTCTGGGTCCCAGGAAGACTGGGTGACATAGGACAAAATGTGGCCTATTAGGTAGCCTGGGCTGCAGACCGAGCAGACTTCCTTAGAAGGGAATGTGAGCAGAGCAGGAAATGATCGGTATCACTGAGTGTGGCTCTGCTCAAAAAATGCTGGGAAAGCCTCAGACCCTACTGACCTGTGGTAGCACTGCTTGAAATCTCATCTGCATTCCTTTGTAGTGAGCATGTCACTGGTCTCCAAATGCAGAGCACTAATACGGACGGACGTGCTCCTGCCATTCAGCTGTTTCCTTCTCAAGAACTACCTGGTAATCTGAACGGGAATGCAATCTCCGTTGTGTAAACTGTTGGTCGAGTTTCTGTGTGCCTTCAGGTCAAGTGAGAATAGCAAAGAAAATGGAGAGGGGGGTGAGACAGGACACAGCCAGTGTGGTGGTCTTAAGTGGGCTGTGGGAGCTGGCAGATCCGAGTGTGACTAAAACTTAATTATACAGCGAAAACCGAGCCAGGGCCATGGCCGGCGTGAGAAATCTGCTTAGCACTTGGGAGAATGTAACACCTTGTCTGGAAAGGTTTGAGCGTGAAACTCTGTCAATAACTTTGAGGTCACACTTGGCAGTGTTAAACTGGGCAGCCAGGAACAGATTCCGAGGCAGGTGAACAGTGAACAGTGAGGACAAACAGTTGTAGACAGCGGTTCATTGTGTCTAGTGTTGTTGTGTTGTTGTTGTTGTTGTTTTAATATAATGTGCCAACTTAGGTAACTGGGAAGTCCACGAGCAGACCTGGCTTCTGTTACAGTGGCTTGGAACACGTCTTCTAAGCTCGCTCTCTCTTTCTCTCTTCCCTCCACCCTCTCTCTATCATTCTTTCCCTCGCCCTTCCTCCCTGCCTGCTTTCCCCTCGTGTGGGTTTTGTACTCAGACAGGCTCGTTCTCTCTCAGGCCCAAACCTATATTTACATGAACTTCTCTCTGTACCCAGATTGTCAAAGTTAGAGAAGAGTCTGACTGGCCCCATTTGTGGCCCAGGTAATAGCGTACTCAGTTCACATGTGATCAAGTCACCTATCCACTTCTGTGGACAACAGAATTGGAACGGCCCCACTGGTAACACGTGAAATGGAAAAAAAGTCGTTCTCACCTTGATCCTAAAGTACTAATGAGAGTGGAAGGCTGTTCTTGCAGGTGAGGTAGAGCCAGGCAAGTGGGAAGTTAGGAGACAGGTACATAGGCACAACAATGTTTGAGAGGATTGCAGAACAGGAAAACGGAGGAGGGCACTGCAGACAAAACAATTTACTTCAGCACTTTTTCAGGAAAGACATGAATGGGAGGAGGCCACCCACGGGATGATTCTGACGTTGATACCACATTAGGTCCAAGGAGGAAAACTAGGAGGTCTGAATTCCCCTGTGACCACACTGGGCTGTCTCTGGACACAACATTAACCCTAGGGGCTGCCAGCATGGCAGAAAAGAGCTTCTAGTTCAGGAGGAAGTGAAAACCCGATTGTGATAGGACAGCCTGTATATCTTTCTGAGTACTGTCAGGAAAGAAGCTGAAAAGCTGGGCGTAGGCTGAGCTCGCAGCTACCCTTAAAACCAGGAGCAGTCCAGGAATGTCGTCCACAGAGCACGTCCTTTTAAAGTGCTGAAGTCACAGATTTTTTGAGGCATTTTACCTGGTAGCAACACCAAATGTTAATGCATCGTTTCATGCCTGAGTCTCACAGTGTCTAAGTACCAAACAAGGCACAGAGTTAGCTCTGGTGTCCTGTAAGGTAGTGGCAACTGCGCTGCATTCTGGGGAGACTGACAGCTAGCTCGAGGACCTGTGTTGAGACGACCTACAGGGTGAGGCAA